TGATGCCACCTAGCCAAAGGGGGGTGATTTTTAATCTGCGGCCCTTGGGCCTGTCTTTCATAGTTTTTGTTCAGACATTCCTCTAGGTCGTAGAGCCCTGGTGTACAAGTTGCCGTACCGTGGTCACTTGTGGTTGCTGTGAGGCTCAACACTGTGACACTGATATGTCAAATGCATTAATGGCTGGTTACCCAATGCAGACAGAGAGTGGGGTGGAGCTCCCCGATTGAAACAAGCTTGGAAAGAGGAGTGGCATCCACTTCCATAATAGCTTGCCTCCGGAAACCCAATGAACCTGGAGAGAGGACGAAAGGGACCCAAGCGTTGAGGACTCTCCTGCATAGGTTTGCTATGAGTCACCTGTGACTCGACGGCACTTAACAACAACAACATTGCAATGGGAAAGTATGCTTTTAGAGGCCTCTCTAGGGTACTTAAGAGCAATGGTATCACTCCAGAGACTAAGGTGCACCTGATACAGGTCATGGTCTTTGCAATCACTTGCTATGCATCAGAGAGCTGGGACAATTGCTAGGGATGATAAAAGGAAAATTGATACCTTTGAGTTGTGGTACTGGAGAAGAGTATTGAATATGCCATGGACTGCTAAGAAAATGAACAGATTCATCCTAGAGAGGGTTAAACCAGGCTGCTCCTTGGAGGCAAGAATTTTAAAGCTTTTTCTGACATACTTTGGACATGTTACAAGGAGAGACCAGTCCTTGGAGAGGGACGTCATGCTTGGGAGGGTGGAAGGACAGTGCAGGAGAGGAAGAACCTCCATGAGGTGGATTGATTCAGTGACTGGAGTAATGGGGGTGGGTGTATCAGAGACAGGGAGGCTGGCAAAGGACAGAGCAGGGTTTAGGGCTGTTGTACAAAGGGTCACTATGTGTCACAGGTGACTCAGCAGCACATAACAACTACAACATCAGGCAAGTACGACTCACAGTGATTCTATGAATACTGTATCTGAATCCTGCCCTATCCTGTGCCATCTTTGTTATCTCTGATACACCTGAGCCCATTGTTGCACTCAAAATGTCAAATCCACCTCACCGGGAATCTCCCTCTCTTTTGCCAACCCTCTACCTTTTTAACACAATATTCTTTTCTAAGAAATGGCCTCTTCTAGCAACGTTCCCAAAATATGTGAGCCTAAACCTGACCATCCTTGTTTCTAAGTATAGCACCCTGGGTGTACTTTTTTCCAAGACATATCTGTTTGGGTTTTGGCACTCATGAGATATTCGGCACTCTTCCCCAACACCACAACTCAAAGGCATCAATTTTCCTTCTGTTGTCTTATTTATTGTCCAGCTCTCAGATGCATAGCAAGTAATTGCAAAGACTATGGCCTGAATCAGGTGCACCTTAACCTTCAAACTGACATCACTGTCTATCAGTATTGTAGTGTAAATCGAATGAACTTTGTGTCCACTGTCTCTACTCAACAAAGATATGCTGAAATCCTGGCAGTCTAGTGTTAGGAAGCTGTGCTGCAAGCTCAAAGGCATATGATATGGTTCTAATCCACCAGCCAGTCTATGGGAGTAGGATGGGCAATCTCTTCCCCTGTCTCTGAAAACCTGCTAGAAGGTCAGCTATGGGTTGGTTCCAACTAGATGGCACACAACATCAACACACACAGCTATAAATAGGGGAAGCTCTAGTGGCCTCGTGATAAGGAATTATGCTGCCAACCCAAAGGTATGTGGCTTGAAATCACCATATCCTTCATGAGAGAAAGATGGCAATCTCTTCCTGTGCAATTTACTGCCTCTGAAAACCCTCTGGAGGGTCAGCTATGAGTCAGTTCCTGGGAGGATATATAATAGCAACAACAGTGTGACTGCCTAAAAACAGGGCTTTTCTTTTGTTATGTTAATGAGATAATATTGAGTGTGTGTCCTAAACCTAATCCTTTCTAAATTTTTACTGTTAGGTGCCCTTGAATGGACCAGGACCCATAATGACCTTATGAACAGCAGCTCTGTACCCTGCCCTTTCCTATCTTTATCATCTCCTGTCCTTACTTGATATATCCAAGCCTGATGTTAGTCACTGTGTCAATTCATCTTATTGAAGGTTTTTCTTACTCTCAATTGTTCCCAATCCCTTCTGAGTAGTGTCTTATAAAAGGAGCAGACATATACAGGGAAGGTAGACATCAAGTAAAGATACATACTGTTGTTGTTGTTGTTGTTGTTGTTATGTGCCGTCGAGTCATTTCCGACTCATAGCGACCCTATGCACAACAGCCCTAAACCCTGCTCTATCCT